TCGCTTGTGTGCGCACGTGCGCGTGTTGCTGTGCTTGCGCGTGTGTGTACCTGCGTGTGCATGTGCACGTTTCATCTTGTGTCTGCTTGTATGTGTCCCTGTGAGCGTGCGTGCTTGCCTGCATGTGCACATGCCTGTTTGCACACGCGTGCCTGTGTGTGTCTACATGTGTATGCGCGTACCTGTGTGCCCGTGCGCGCGTGCAGATGATGAGCTGCCCTGTAACGAGACCCAAGGCTCCATGATGAGACCACTTTCCATCACCCCAGCGAAGAAGATGAGGCACGTCCACACACACGCGCTGCATGCATGCATGTGTTGCGTTCGTGCGTGTGAGTGTGCACACGAGGGGGATGTGTTCAGGGTGTGCGGGTGTGTGTGTGTGGTAAAAGCAATGTACGGTGCGAAAGAAGTTCAACATACATAAACACAACGGCGTGGGGGAGCATGTGTGTACAGGGGGTTGTGTGTGCAACATAGGTATGTCCAAGATGCGTGTTTCAGGTTTGTGTGTGGATGGTGCCAGTGTGCAATGTAGGGTGTTTGTGTATGGTGTGTGCGTGCGTGTGTGTGCAAGTTGCGCGTAGGTACTGTGTGTGTGTGTGCAAGGTGTGCATAGGTACGGTGTGCGTGTCCGTGTGTGTGCAAGGTGTGTGTAGGTACGGTGTGCGTGTGTGTGTGCAAGGTGTGTCCAGGTACGGTGTGTGTGTGTGTGCAAGGTGTGTGTAGGTACGGTGTGTGTGTGCGTGCAGGTACGGTGTGCGTGTCCATGTGTGTGCAAGGTGTGTATAGGTACAGTGTGTGTGTGTGCAAGGTGTGTGTAGGTACGGTGTGTGTGCAAGGTGTGTGTGTGTGTTCAAGGTGTGTGTATGTGTGCAGTGCGTGTGTGTGCGTGTATATGTGTGCAGGCTGTGTGTGTGTGTATGTGTGCAGGCTGTGTGTGTATGTGTGCAGGCTGTGTGTGTGCGTGCAGGCGGTGTGCGTGTGCAGGGTCTCGCGTGCGTGGCGCACGGCGCACGGGGCCCACGTGCGGGAATGCTGATGCCATTGATTGCCGGAGTGGGCGCGCTGGCATAATTGAATGCGTTCTATCATGTCTGTCAGGCCCCCTTTAGTAAATTGAGCCGTCGAGCTAACAAGCTCAATCTCTATTGCCGGTTTCATAGCTCACACGGCGGCTCCCTCCGTCCCCCGGCGAGACGGAGCGCCGCCGACGGCCTCCCTCCCACGGCCACGCCGGGCGGTCAGGGTAACCTCTCGTCGTTTGAGTGGCAGGGTAACCTCTCGTCGTTTGAGTGGCAGGGTAACCTCTCGTCTCCCTCGCGTGGCAGGGTAACCTCTCGTCGTTTGAGTGGCAGGGTAACCTCTCGGCGTTTGTGTGGCAGGCTAACCCCACGCCTCACCCGTTTGGCAGGGTAACCTCTCGTCGTTTGTGTGGCAGGGTAACCTCGCGTCTCCCTCACGTGGCAGGGTAACCTCTCGTGGCAGGGTAACCCGCTTCTCGCTCGAGTGGCAGGGTAACCTCGCTTGACAGAGTAACCTCTCGTCTCCCTCGCGTGGCAGGGTAACCTCACGTGGCAGGGTAACCTCGCGCGGCAGGGTAACCTCGCATCTCCCTCGCGTGGCATGGTAACCTCGCGTGGCAGGGTAACCTCGCTTGGCAGGGTAACCTCTCGTCTCGCTCGAGTGGCAGGGTAACCTCGCGCTGGCAGGGTAACCTCGCATCTCCCTCGCGTGGCAGGGTAACCTCGCATCTCCCTCGCGTGGCAGGGTAACCCGCGTGCCTCATGGTGTGGTGTGTGTACCATGTGTATGTGGGGGGAGAATGTGTATTGTTTGGTGTGTGTGTATGATGTGGTGTACTGTGTGTGTGGAGGGTGAGGTTGGGTGTGGTGTGTTACTGTGTGGAGGGTAGACTGTGTGGTGTGTGTGGTGTGTGTGTGTGTGAAGGGTAGACTGTTGTGTGTGTGGTGTGTGTGTGTGCGGTGTGTGAGGTTGCTGTTGTGGTGTGTGAGGTTGTGTGTGGATGTGTGAATGGTAGACTGGTGTGTGTGGTAGGTGTGAGGTAGTGTGTGTGGTGTGTGAAGGGTAGACTGTTGTGTGTGAGGTGTGTGTGTGTGGTGTGTGAAGGGTAGACTGTTGTGTGTGAGGTGTGTGAAGGGTAGACTGTTGTGTGTGAGGTAGTGTGTGTGGTGTGTGAAGGGTAGACTGTTGTGTGTGAGGTGTGTGGTGTGTGAAGGGTAGACTGTTGTGTGTGTGGTGTGTGAGGTATGTGTGTGGTGTGTGTGAGGTGTGTGAGGTGTGTGTGGTTGTGCGTGTGTGGTGTGTAAGGTTGTGTGTGTGGTGTGTGTGTGAAGGGGAGACTGTTGTGTGTGTGGTGTGTGAGGTGTGTGGTGTGTGTGAGGTGTGTGTGTGTGGTGTGTGTGTGTGGTGTGTGTGAAGGGGAGACTGTTGTGTGTGAGGTGTGTGTGTGGTGTGTGTGTGTGTGTGGTGTGTAAGGTTGTGTGTGTGTGTGTGGTTGTGTGTGTGTGTGTGTGGTGTGTAAGGTTGTGTGTGTGTGTGAGGTGTGTGTGTGTGTGTGGTGTGTAAGGTTGTGTGTGTGTGTGAGGTGTGTGTGGAGTGTGTGGTTGTGTGTGTGTGGTTGTGTGTGTGTGTGGTGTGTGTGTGTGTGTGGTGTGTGTGTGTGTGTGTGAGGTGTGTAAGGTTGTGTGTGTGGTGTGTGTGTGTGAGGTGTGTGTGGAGTGTGTGGTTGTGTGTGTGTGGTGTGTGTGTGGTGTGTGTGTGGTGTGTGTGTGTGAGGTGTGTGTGGAGTGGGGTGCAGTGTGAGGAGGGTCCTGTGTGCTAGTCTGTGTTGGTATTGCGCCATTACATGGCAACGGTACAAAACCGAGTGCGTATATCATCTTCGCGGTGTTGTGTACGGTACATTGTGGTGGTTGCGCTGAGCTCCATGTGACTATTGTAGTGGGAGCGGTGGTGCAGCGGTTAGCGCTACGCTGCGCTACGAACCCTGGCGACCCGAGTTCGATTCCTGCTCACAGCCAACACCGGTGACGATTATCTGAACCAGTCCTGTGCCTCCTCTAGGTCGACTCAACCTTAAATTAGTACCTGGTCCGATGTGTAAAAACATCGCCACTGGGGAGACAAAGGCGGTCGGGCGTGGTCCTGGCCAAGCCAACCCCCTCGTGTGCCGCTAACAGCGCTTGACTCTACGGGGCATCTTCATCACTGCTGCAGTATATGTTGTGTGTTGTGGTATATGGGGTGGCTGGTGTGGCGTATGCAGTGTTTTGGTCTACGTTATGTATTTCTTTGGGTCTTTCGGTAAAGTCGCGGAGATAGGTCCAAAGGAAATAACAAACTACGACGTTTCGATCGCAGCACAAGCGGTGGTCCTCAGGTTGTGTTGTGTTGTGGTATGCGCTGCATCTTGTGGTAGGTGTAGTGTGTGGAGTGCATGTGGTTTTACATGTACACGTCGTGTGTAGCGGTATGCGTCGTATCGAGTTGTGAATGTCGCGTGTTGTGAACTCTGCGCATCGCTGACCCCGCAGGGCCGCGCCGGGAGGAGTGGAGGTGCTCCTCTCGCCCATGCGGCGCTCCCTGCGCCTCGAGGGACGCGGCACCCCCTGCTGACCCCCCCTGCTGACCCCTCCCCACCGACCCAGCCGGGAGCCCTCCGACCCCCCAACTCCGGGACCGCCCCCCCCCCTGTGGAGAGACGGACAGGGAACCCGCCGCCATTCCTGCCTCGCGATGAAGTGAAGAGCAAGAGGATTTAGCGGCCCCCCGCCCCGCCCCCCAATCTCTACACACCCCCCCCCCCGCCCCCGGCCTATCACACCCCCCCGAATGACCCCCGTTTTTATTAAACTTGTCTTCAAATAAAGTGTTGGTTGACAATGAAGCCTCCATTGTGCTGAGTGAGCGGCCCCCTCGCCTCGGCCCCCCCCCCCATCCCCTCGCCCCCCCCCCATCCACTTCCCTCGTCCCATCACCTTGCCCCCCCCCTCGACCCCCCCCCCCCATCGCCTCTCGTCCCCCCCCATCCCCTCCCATCGCCCCGCCCCTCCCCTCGGCCACCCCCCCCACCCCTCCCGTCAGCCCCCCTCCCCGCGGGGGTTAAGGGGCGCTTGGCCACAGACAGCAGGCGGGGTAGGGGGGCTCTCTTGCCCCCCCCCCTCTGCTCCTCCCTTACCGAACCCCCAGCGCCAATTACCGCGCGGTGCCGCTCGCATTCATCATGGGCAGCCCTGGGACGCGGGGGATGGAGGGGGGTAGGGATTGGGGGGTGGGGTGGGGGGCTAAATTCTCTTCTCAGGAGCGACTTGCCCCTTCCCGCCGCTGCTCAGAGCCTCATTAACAAAATGGTTCTTCAGCGCAGCGCGGCGCTTTACGACGGCGAGAACGCGCGTCCCAAGTGGGGGGGGGGGGGGGGGTCCCACGGGTGGGGGAGGGGCGGGGCTGTGGGCCCCAACGCTTCCTCGAGCCCCCACCTGCAGCGTCTACAGAACCGGTGGGGGGAGGGGGTGGGGGGTTGTGGAGGGGTGTGGAGAGCGGTGGGGGGGGTGTGGAGGGCGGTTGGGATGGGGGGGGGTGGAGGGCGGTGGGGGGGGGTGTGGAGGGCGGTGGGGGGGGGTGTGGAGGGCGGTGGAGGGGGGGGGGTGGAGGGCGGTGGGGGGGGGGTGGAGGGCGGTGGGGGGGGGGTGGAGGGCGGTGGGGGGGGGGTGGAGGGCGGTGGGGGGGGGTGTGGAGGGCGGTGGGGTGGGGGGTGTGGAGGGCGGTGGGGTGGGGGGGGGTGGAGGGCGGTGGGGAGGGTGACCCCCGCTTGAGGGAGGAGAGAGCAGAAGCATCAGGAGGAGGGAGCGCTCTTCCCGCCCCCTCCATCCCCCGCCAGGATCACGAGAGAGAGAGAGAGGGGTGGGGGGGGGGAGAGCGAGAGAGGAGACAGCGGGAGGGAGAGGAGGCAGAGCGGGAGGGAGAGAGACAGGGGGAGAGCGAGCAAGATCCATCAGTCGCTCGCTGAATAAATCACGCGCGCAGTGCGGAGGAGGAGGCGGCGGCGGAGAGCGGAGAGATTCGTGGAGCCCCGCGCTGCCCCGGAGCCAGAGAGCGACGAGCAGGTAACGGGAGCCGGGCTGTCCGGGGCGTGTGTGGCCGGGGTGGTGGGATACGGGGAGAGAGTGGACGCCGGAGGGGAGGGTGGGGGGGGGGGGGGTCACTACGTGCGGGGAGAGAGGGTGGACGCCGTGGAGGTATCGGAGCGAGGATTCCCGCTCGGACCCGAGGCGAGGGGGTGGAGTGCGCGCAGCCAGAAGTTTACTGCCCGCGCGTGCTCACCCGAGGTTGGTGACGAGGCGAGGGATGGGTGGTGCTGCTGGGGTGGTGGCCGTGAGGTGAGCGGAGCGCGTGGTGAAGGAGGAATGAGGATGCTGGGTGGCGAGGGACGTGGGCCGGGTTTGAGGGATTCGGGGTGTGGGGACTGAGGTGGGCTAAGGTGAGGTTCTGGGTGAGGCTACGTTGAGGTTCGTCAAGGTGGTGGGGTGGCGACGCTGCTGCTGTGGCTGAGTCGGTAGAGGACCGCTGATGGTGATGGTCCTGATAGTTGGTGGGCTGCGTTGGTTGGTTCGGTTCATGCGAGGCTGTGGTGTTCGTTGGGGTGTGCGGTGAGTCGGGTGTGCGGTGAGTCGGGTGTGCGGTGAGTCGGGTGTGCGGTGAGTCGGGCTGTGCGGTGAGTCGGGTGTGCGGTGAGTCGGGTGTGCGGTGAGTCGGCTGTGCGGTGAGTCGGGTGTGCGGTGAGTCGGCTGTGCGGTGAGTCGGCTGTGCGGTGAGTCGGCTGTGCGGTGAGTCGGCTGTGCGGTGAGTCGGCTGTGCGGTGAGTCGGCTGTGCGGTGAGTCGGGTGTGCGGTGAGTCGGGTGTGCGGTGAGTCGGGTGTGGTTTGACTCGTTGACGAGGCTATGTGGGATTGGTGAGTTGTGTGGTGAGGGTAGGTGGGAAGGCAGGTGGTGGTGAGGAATTGTGAGGCTCGGTGGTGAGGTATGCTGAGGGATTGTGAAACTCGGTGAGGGATTGTCAGGCTGAGTGGGGAGTTGTGGCTGTGGTGGTAAGGGATGGCGAGATTGTGGTGGTGAGGGGTGGTGAGGTTGTGGTGGTGAGGGGTGGTGAGGTTGTAGTGGTGAGGGGTGGTGAGGTTGTGGTGGTGAGGGGTGGTGAGGTTGTGGTGGTGAGGGGTGGTGAGGTTGTGGTGGTGAGGGGTGGTGAGGTTGTGGGGGTGAGGGGGGGTGAGGGGTGGTGAGTTTGTGGTGGTGAGGGGTGGCGAGGTTGTGGGGGTGAGGGACGGTGAGGTTGTGGTGGTGAGGGGTGGTGAGGTTGTGGTGGTGAGGGGTGGTGAGGTTGTGGTGGTGAGGGGTGGCGAGGTTGTGAGGGATGGTGAGGTTGTGGGGGTGAGGGGTGGTGAGGTTGTGGTGGTGAGGGGTGGTGAGGTTGTGGGGGTGAGGGATGGTGAGGTTGTGGGGGTGAGGGGTGGCGAGGTTGTGGTGGTGAGGGATGGTGAGGTTGTGGTGGTGAGGGGTGGCGAGGTTGTGGTGGTGAGGTTGTGGGGGTGAGGGGTGGTGAGGTTGTGGGGGTGAGGGGTGGCGAGGTTGTGGTGAGGGGTGGCGAGGTTGTGGTGGTGAGGGGTGGTGAGGTTGTGGGGGTGAGGGGTGGTGAGGTTGTGGGGGTGAGGGTGGTGAGGTTGTGGGGGTGAGGGGTGGCGAGGTGGTGGTGGTGAGGGGTGGTGAGGGGTGGCGAGGTTGTGGTGAGGGGTGGTGAGGGATGGCGAGGTTGTGGGGATGTTGTGGGGGCGAGGGTTCTGCGTTAACTCTGCAGCGCGGGGTGCGCGGGGTGAGCTTAGTGATGAGTGGTCAGGGTGAGTGGTGAGTGGGGACGGTGAGTGGGGAGGGTGAGTGGTGAGTGGGGAGGGTGAGTGGAGAGGGTGCGTGGTGAGTGGGGAGGGTGCGTGGTGAGTGGGGAGGGTGCGTGGTGAGAGTGAGTGGTGAGTGGGGAGGGTGCGTGGTAGTGGGGAGGGTGCGTGGTGAGTGGTGAGTGGGGAGGGTGCGTGGTGAGTGGAGAGGGTGCGTGGTGAGTGGGGAGGGTGCGTGGTGAGAGGGAGTGGTGAGTGGGGAGGGTGCGTGGTGAGAGTGAGGGGTGAGTGGGGAGGGTGCGTGGTGAGTGGGGAGGGTGCGTGGTGAGTGGGGAGGGGGCGTGGTGAGTGGGGAGGGTGCGTGGTGAGTGGGGAGGGTGCGTGGTGAGTGGGGAGGGTGCGTGGTGAGTGGGGAGGGTGAGTGGTGAGTGGAGAGGGTGCGTGGTGAGTGGTGAGTGGGGAGGGTGCGTGGTGAGAGTGAGTGGGGAGGGTGCGTGGTGAGTGGGGAGGGTGAGTGGTGAGTGGGGAGGGTGAGTGGTGAGAGTGAGTGGTGAGTGGGGAGGGTGAGTGGTGAGTGGGGAGGGTGAGTGGTGAGTGGGGAGGGTGAGCGATGAGTGGGGAGGGTGAGCGGTGAGTGGGGAGGGTGAGCGGTGAGTGGGGAGGGTGAGCGGTGAGGGGGGAGGGTGAGTGGTGAGTGGGGAGAGTGAGTGGGGAGGGTGAGCGGTGAGTGGGGAGGGTGAGTGGGGAGAGTGAGTGGTGAGTGGGGAGGGTGAGTGGGGAGAGTGAGTGGTGAGTGGGGAGGGTGAGTGGGGAGGGTGAGTGGGGAGGGTGAGTGGGGAGGGTGAGTGGGGAGGGTGAGTGGGGAGGGTGAGTGGGGAGGGTGAGTGGGGAGGGTGAGTGGGGAGGGTGAGCGGTGAGTGGGGAGGGTGAGCGGTGTGCTGCGAGGTGAGCGTGTGTGGTCTCGGGTTGAGGGCGAGTGGGGTGAGGTAAATTGTGTGTGTGGGTTAGAGTGTCTGATTCGAGGTGTGTGTGTGGTAAGCGCGTGGTGTGACTGTGGGATGTGTGGTGCGTGTCGGTGAGTCTGTGTGGAGTGTGTGCTGTGTGCACGTGTGTCTGTGTGATTCAGACGGCGTACCAATAAATATCTGTAACGGTCCAGGGCCTCTCCTAGGTAGACTCAGCCTTAAATGAGTGTATTGGGAAGACAAAGGC